TAATAATTCATTTGTCTAATAGCATTTATTAGTGATTACAATCACAGCTTCTTCTCAACATTGCATTGCTTCTTGTTTATTAGACAGTGAGCACCGATGTCCAAAATATTTCTGGAATCCCTTTGCTATTTCCATTCATTTGATTGATTTTCCAGGTTCCCGATACGGTAGTGAGAAGACTCTGGAGGCTTAATTTCCAACTTGAGTTCTAGACCGTGGTTACCCCTTACTTCATTCCCTCCCCTAAGTGCTTTATCTATGATGATTTGAAAGATCTAATTACTCTTATTTTTGGGGGTGAGGTGGGCGTGTTTACAAAATAGAACAGAAGAACTGCTGGTAGAAGAAGCTATGCTGCTTGCTGGTTTTTTTTGTTTTTTGTTTTTTTTTAGAAAGAGTCTTTCTCTGTTGCCCATGCTGGAGTGCAGTGGGGGTGATCACAGCTCTCTGCAGCCTCAACACCCACCTCCCTGCCTCCCACCTCCACCCCTACCCATCCCCAGGCTCAAGTGATCCTCCCCACCTCAGCTTCTGAAGTAACTGGGACTGACCCAGGAGGCTAGATATCAAGAGACAGTAGAGGCCAACATGTCTCCATGTCTGGCTAATTGTTATGTTTTGTACAGACAGGGTATTCCTATGTTGCCCAGGCTGGTCTCAAACTCCTGGGCTCAAGTGATCCTCCTGCCTTGGCCTCCCAAAGTGCCAGTATTACAGGCATGAGCCACTGCACCTGGCCTGCTCTCCTTTTTGAACCTGGTCTCTGGCTCTGTTAACATATCTGGTCTTCAAGATGAGGATAAGTCAGAAAATGGCAAAGGTTGCATATTAAACTTCATAATAAATATGTGCCCGGTGCATAGTAAGCACTCGATATATGTTACATAATTATCAGAACAAAGGCCAGAGAACACCTCAAACTCTTGCTAGCATCCAACATCAGCTCATTCCCAAATGCCCTGCACCTGAAGGCATGCATGAGGCTGAAAAGGGGGATGTAACGAGCTAAATCCTGCCACCCCAAAAATGTCCATGCCCTAATCCCTAGAACTGATGCATCTCTTTCCTTATATGGTAAAAGGGACTTTGTAGATGTGGTGAAATTCACGATCTTCATTGGGGAAGGGTGTCACGCACGTCCGTGTGAAGAGACCACCAAACAGGCTTTGTGTGAGCAATAAAGCTTTTCAATCACCTGGGTGCAGGCGGGCTGAGTCTGAAAAGAGAGTCATCGAAGGGAGATAAGGGTGGGGCTGTTTTATAGGATTTGGGTAGGTAAAAGAAAATTACAGTCAAAGGGAGGTTGTTCTCTGGCAGGCAGGAGTGGGAGTCACAAGGTGCTCAGTGGGGGAGCTTTTAAAGCCAGGATGAGCCAGGAAAAGGACTTCACTAGGTAATGTCATCACTTAAGGCAAGGACTGGCCATTTTCACTTCTTTTGTGGTGGAATGTCATCAGTTAAGGCGAGGCAGGGCATTTTCACTTCTTTTGTGATTCTTCAGTTACTTCAGGCCATCTGGGCTTATACGTGCAAGTCTCAGGGGATGTGATGGCTTGGCTTGGGCTCACAGGCCAGACAAAGGGCATCCTGGATAATCTAGGTGGGCCAATACAATCACAAGGGTCCTGTCAGGGGGTAGTAGGAGCATCAGAGAAAAAGGAGATGTGATGACAGAAGTTGGAGAAAGGGACCACCCATAGGTGGTCTCCAGAAGCCCCGGAGAAGGAATGCAGCCCTGCTCACACCTTGATCTTAGCTCAATGAGACCCATTTTGAACTTCTTACTTCCAGAATGTGAGATAAATTTGTGTTGCTTTAAACTACTAAATGTCTGGTAATTTGTAACAGTAGCAATAAAAAATTGATAGGAGGAAATCAGAATTTCACTGAACATTCTGCAAAATTTGCTCTTCTGGACACAAGTCTTTGTTTAACTGCAGGGCTTGAGGCCCACAGAACTTATGGTGCCTTACTTGGCGTGCCACCCTGCCAGGTTTTTACCATCCTTCAGGCCTTTCTCTCCACCTCTGTCTGCGTACCCAGCCTGATTTCTGCTGTCCCCAAGAAGCTATTCTAAAGTAGTGGTGTCAGAGACGTTTGAACCAGAGCAACTCCATCTTCAATAGGGGCTAGGTAAAATAAGGCTAAGACCTACTGGGCTGCATTCCTAGGAGATTAAGGCACTCTAAGTCACAGGATGAGATAGGAGGTCTGCACAAGATATAGGTCAGAAAGACCTTGCTGATAAAAACAGATTTCAGCAAGGAAGCCAGCCAAAGCCCACTACAACCAAAATGGTGACGAGAGTGACCTCTGGTCATCCTCACTGCTACACTCCCACCAGC